GCCCACACAGAGGCCTCATTGGCTATATTCTGGCTAGACTCCACCCCGACACTCTTTTTTTTTCAGGGTCCATCCAAAAAAAGACTGGGATTCTTTATTTAAATCAGCACACTCACATTCCTCAAGGCCCAGACCACACGGTGGGCAGCCCTCCTTCCTCTGTCCCCTCTCACCGCCACCCCTTAGCCACAGCAAGGGGAATGGAAAATGAGAAGTCTCGAGGCCCGCTGCTACGGAAGGCTTCCCGGAGGCGCGGTGAACGTGGTCCAGCTGTGGCTGGAGTGGCAGCCGCCACAGACCCCTCCCTCTCAACGAGGCTTCTGCAGCCACAGCTGGTGGAAGGCAGGCCAGCGCAGCATCAGAAGGCCGGGAGGCAGCCCCCTGGGCCCCCAGCCCAGGAATGCAGTGAGGGCATAGAGCCCAGTGGGAGAGAGAAAAGGAACTGGGGGCGGGGGCACCCCCCACATTTTGGTCCCAGGAGAAGAGGCCAGCTGGTCCAGTTTGAAGCAGCGGTGGGAATGTATTAGTAAGTATGGGGAGAGGCCACCATTGGGCACCTCCAGAGGAGACAGGCCAGGCTGGGCCCCAACCCTGGCAGAGGGCTCTGGGGGCCCTCAGGGGCTGTCACTGCTGAGCACAAAATATTTCTATATATTAACTATTCACAGAGGGCCAGGCGGGGGTGGGGCAGGCTCAGAGGATCTGGCGTGGCATCCTGTAGCCAGTCATGCCTGCCTGAGATGCCCCGTGGTTGGTGCCCATCTGCAACCCTATCACGTTTTTTTGCCCTCTTGCAGCTGGTTGTCTGAGAAGCTCCGTGGGTTCTCCTTGGGTTTCTTAGGAAACCAGTTGGGGTCTCCAGAAAAGAGCCCATCGTCCCGGGCTACTGCCAGGCCACCCCGATTCATCAGCGTCCGTTGTACACAGGCCATGTTCGTTGCTTCCCAGAGGTCCACAGTCTGGAAAGTGTCCGTAGTGTTGATGCCACAGCGCTCGGCTGCTTGCAGGAACTGGGAGATCTGCTCCATCTGCTTGAAGGCCATGGTGGAGGCCTGGATCTTCTTCACCAGGCCCTGGCCCTCAGGGTACAGCGCATTAATGAGCTCACAGAGCACCGTGCCATCCTTGAGCCAGTTCTGGACGTTCTCCCGGCCAGGCTGAGGCCAGCCCACATCCTTGCGGCACGGGGTGGTAACCCACTGGATCAGGATGTGTTCCAGGTCTGGGTCGTACTGTTTCTCAATCTTCTGCTGAACCTCCCGGCTCAGG